GGTTGATATCTCACTTAGATATTTAATGTGTGTTGGCAGGAATGTGAAAACATGGCCTTCAAATTTAAGCTTTATTTGACATCCGTTTGAAAGACACAACTCAGTAAGTTGTGACAAGCATTTGGTGTTTATGGTTCCTGTGTGATGAACGATGGCGTCCAGCCCTCCAGAGGGTATCGTGTTTCTCTCCGTGGAGACCCTTATCTGGCGATGACTGACAGGAGCAGACTGACCTGTGGAGGCTGTCGCCCTATCATAGGTCCTGTGCTAATTGTTTAAATGTATCAAGGCCGTGGACGTGTTTGGGTGCTTTGTGGTGTGCGTGAAACTAAATACTGGTTGGATGTTCTACCTTATTTCATGCTCTTGTCTCGTGTTGATGATTTTGTCTCCCTTGATGGTGGCGCCATCCTTGGTCCAGTAAACCTGTGGGGGAGGGTACGCCTCCATCGCCACTCTCAGCTCCACGTTCTCTTGTAGCTTGACTGAAATGTTTCGTTGCTGAGGCGGTTTGATGTCCACAAAGCCGTTTTCTAACAAGAAAAAGAGCAACGTATATATGCAATGCACTAAATGTAGTAAATTATTAGAAAACACATGTAGTGACTTATTGATGCACGTGCAAACATTCTGAGAGGTACAGCAAGTATTCTTCAGGAATAGTTCTCTCAGACTACTTAATGAACATTCAAGGTTCTTCTTTAGATATTGGCGCCTTTTGTTTCATGACAGAGTATCAGCTGTATTCTACAGATGGCTGTAGACTCTCACTGCTCAAGTCCCGTTGCCACTGATTTTCAGTCCAGCTTGTGTGTGTAATTTGGCATACTCGAGTCTTTTCCTCATTTCTTTTCCTAAAGAATGGCTTCTACCACTGAGACCATTATGATGAGGCATCAGAGAACAATAGATGGATCAAATAAAGGCAAAGATGCATCTCTCAGATCCTGCTTCAGGTCTTTGTTGGATTGTTTTCCTATTTCTTAAAGGCATGACTTTCAGGTCCTGTTCATCTGCTCTAGGATATGTTTTAGGCCTGTGTCTTCTCTTTTATTCTTCTCTTATTCAGGTTTCTTCAATTTTTTTAAGGACATGCTGCACATCCTGCTTAGGTATTCCCAGTTTTTGGCTAAAGCCTCTTTGGGAATCACTTTGTCGGTGCAAAAATACTATTTTATGTCTGTCAAACTGTGTTATCTTTGGAATTTTTCATAGCTTTAACCAGAAATGGTAGCAACAACAACAACAACAACAACAACAACAACAACAGGATGATGCTTCAAAATACAATTTAAAATTGGACAGAAAATGAGTTGGAAAAGCAGCCGGTATCAAAACAAAAACTTCTTAATTTTCATCTTAAGGAAGCCTGGAAAACTATTACTCAAGACCACTTTAAAAGAAATTCAAAGCAAGTCTGTCTCCTAGGAAGCAAAATATAAAGAAATAAGAGGTGGCTCAAGACTTTTGCACAATACCTACTCTCCACTGATATTTTTGCAACCAAAGATTTTGTCCATGAGAGCAGTGAGACTGAACCAAAACCAAAACTCTGCAGGCCAGAGAATAAAAAGAAAAGTCCTAAAAGGTACTTTCTAGTTTCACATAGCTGGGCACTACTTTTCCCTGTGTTTCTATTCAGACTGCTTTTCTTGGTCTAAGGCTTTTTGATGTGACCATTTCTCTGTACAAAACCATTTATTAAGCTGCTTCTGTACTGCTGCTCTACATTCTTGAACCTCTGTGGTTAGACACTATGCATCTTTTCCACTGAGATGTCCAGTGTCCACCATTAAACTGTCCTGGCCTCCTGTCTCTACTAAACATGGAGCTTGGAGCTTGTATAAATATAACACACCTCAGTGCAGGTGGAATAAGCATTAACTGACCTATACGGCATGCAGTGACGGTCAGGAGACAGAGCATTAAGAGAAGTACCATATGATGAATCCCGCTTACCTTAGCAGCTAAGATGCTGACTTACTGTATGTTAACATTTGAAGTCAAACCCCAGTGACATAAACACTGTGAGTCTAAATATAAAGTTGCTGTACCCACTGATTTACAGCTCTGTTTCTCAATGTATCACTCGAGGGATCCACACCGTGTCAAAAGTTTATTTCACACTTTGAAGAAAAATAAAGAGAAGTGATCTTCATTTCCTTTAAAAGTAACTCCTCTCCAACCGTAACATCCAGAGGTTGACATAATAAGCAGTCTTTCCTATGTCAGCAAAACGTAATAATAATCTGCACAGCATCAGTTTGTTTTACTTTTGTGTCTATGTCTATGTGTGTGTGTGTGGGAGGAAGGTGGGAGAAAGGTTGGGGGTGTGCAAGGGGTTTTTTTATCTTACCAAGCACAGTGATGTTGACGCTGGCAGAGGCGCTCTGGTCTTGTATGCCCTCATGGACGTGGCAGACATATTTTCCACTGTGGTCCACCGTGGCCTGGGAGAAGACCAGGCAGGAGCGCATGCTCGTGGGGGACAGGACATCAGTCAGTGGCTCATAGAAGTCAAGCTTAGAGACAAGTACAAGAATAAGATGTGTTTTAATATCGGACTTTCAGTGAGCTCTTATTTTTGCAGGAAAAGCTGTGAGTTTGTTTTAAAACATGTTCTAATAAAGCCATAAAAATAAAACTTCATCATCAAAGATAAAACGGAAACATTTCAGCTTCGCTGTTATCCAAACAAGGACCTACAGAGACCCAGTTATTACAATACCAGCCTAATGTGAGCTGTGAGTAAAGTTTCACAGCAGAATAAAAACTATGAGGTGTGTCTCAACATCTTGATATAATTTGGGCTTGGTCCAGAGGCCTGAGAGTGATCACAAAGGGAAAACGGAACAATAGCGCTTGTTCTGCTCCACTCCTACTCACCCCTCTATTGGGAATATCCCAAGAAAAATTCACCAGCTCCACTCCGTGCACTGTGCAGTTTACTGTCAGTGGTTCACCCTGCTTCAGGACCGTCTTCGAGGCATTGATGTAGGCGTCAATGGCCTCTGGGACTGGGACGAGAAGAGAAAACACAAGGGAGAAGTGAAAAGGGTGTGGTAATGTAATGTAACTAAACAATAATGTCTGCACTAAGGGTGATCAAGTTATTAAGTTGGAAAGAGCTATTTCTAAAACAAGCTCTTCAACCTGAACACCTACCCACAATGCTGAAGACATAGAAGGCCTGAGACTCTCGCACTTCCTCGTTCAGCTCTCCCCGACACACGTAATTCCTGTCCTCCACCGCCGCCTTGTAGCCCTCACTAGGAACATACACCCCACTTACGGGTATGTCAGTGTCCCTCTCGTGCAAGGTGACAGTGATTTTTGGATTGGTGACCACACAGGGGATGGTGCTTTCTTCACTGGTCTTTGTTACCATGCCGTGAGAGCTCTCTATGAACCACACGTCAGGATCTGCAGACAGACACATTTTTTATGACAAAAAATATTTTTCTATTGATTTACTGCGTCTTCCTCAAAGAACTTCCTGGAGGTTTTTCACCCTACTCTTCTTCAGAGCAGTTTTCAAAATCACAGTGTTTTCAGAAGCTCTTTATTTACATGCAGCATGGAACTTAGACAGTTTTTTTTCAGTTGTACTGTACAGTTAGCTTTGCAAACTCTGAATCAGGAAGGTAAACCAAAGGTAAGCACACCAGGCCCCACCTGGGACAAACACAGCCACCTCCTCTGTGTCTCGAGTGCGCTGATCAATGCACTGATACACGCCCGTGTGCTTCCAGCTCACATTGAACAACGTCAGAACGCTGGATGTGGCTCCGCTTTGCACGATCTCGTAACTCTGGTGACCCAGTTTAGATGGTTCCAGCTGAAAGTACGGCACGTCGTCCATCTTAAACTTCCACGTGGTCTCCCCTGAGCCGCTGCAGGTAAGGGTAAGAGAGGAGCCCTCGGCCAGAACAAACTCTTTGTCACCGGGCGTGATCTCCAGGCAGCGCAGCTCAGTGCAGAAACACAGCAGAGCTGCAGTTTGCACAGCAAGACAAAAAAAGGTCAGGATGGAGGTTACAGAGACTGCAGCAGGAGGTGAAAGGTTAAATCAACAGTGTTAGTCAGATCCTGCGCTATCTTTAAATGATGAAGGATGTGAGTTGTCTGCAGCAATTTAGTGGGAGGGCGATGACGCCTTGTCATTGATAAATACATTTAAATTGAAAGAGGTGAATGAATGCATCAGTTGTGTTGTGAAATCCCGCAGCTAATGAATCACAGAAGAAGTCGCTGTATTCTTTAAACATTCTGAACACAATGACTTCATACTTACTTAATAAAACCTGAAACATGCTGTCCCCATAATCCTGACCACATGTTTTGCAAATTTAATAAGATATAAGTTATAACCCATTCAATTATATCCATTTTTTATATTAAATTGTTATATTAGATATCCAAATCATATTAACTGTGATTTGTTATAAAAGAGTCCCAGTCTTGCAGTATCTATTTCCCCTAATTGTAAAATACTCCATCCAAACTTAGCTTCAAGCTTCTTGCTTCCCTTCAAATGACTTTTGCTTCTTCTTACACAGTTTCACTTTTTGTTGCTGAAGTAAAATTTAGGCCTCACCTGTAAATGTGACTGACAGGTGGAGCGGGGATGCTGTCACCTTCCTCATCACGGAGGCCTTCAAGTCACTTTGTTCTGCAAAAAGAAAAACAAACCAACAACAAGAGTGATCCTTTTCAGAAGTATTTCGCCTCAACAGTTAAGTGAAAATGAACACAACAGCAAAATTCTGTTTTCTATTCAAATCAATGAAGACAAATCTTGAACATCCGTCCATGTGAGGATGAGCTTCATATCATGATGGATTGGTTCCTGCTCTCGCAGGCTCCACAAGGTCAGGTTAAGTGCGAAAATAAATTGTGTGTGTCAGAACAAACTGCGTCAAATGAAAGAGAATGACACCAAACTATGCTCTTCTCCCACTAAATAGAAACAAAAAGTATTGAGTTTGTTATCAGGCTGCTTTCTTTAATAGCGACTGGCCCTCACAGAGAAACTGAGGTACCGATGCAACTCATCAGGTATTTGATGCCTCGCTGCACCAGGACAGAGCAACAATGTCTGGCTCTTTTTGTTCCCGGTTCACCAGCATTCTGCCCGCTAACAAACGGGTCACTGTGTTCGGCTTTGCAACGCGCTCGCTGGCAACAATGCTGCGTCCGAGCTATTCCGCAGCCATGCTGAGCCATTAATTGGTTTTGCTAAAAACAAAAGTAAAAATGAGGGCAGTCACAAAAGCTGCTGACAAAGGAGTGCACTTGGAGTTTTGAAAGGTTGCTATGGTTTGGCATTACTAATAGGGTATCGTGTTGTACACCAAAGCGATGTCAGCATCAATGGATTCAGCACTTGGGGGGGTCAGAGTTGACCCATGCTTACCATCATCGAGACTGTTATCAAAGACCTTGAAGTTCTAATTGTACAGCACAGTGAGAGGCCAAAGGAAAGTGGGGAGGGGTGGTTTGCTGTTATGTTTAGGATAGGGGTTAAGGCCTGCAGCACACAGGCGTCTGGAAACAGTTAAGGATGGATCACAGGCCTATACGAGGGTGGGAAAAAGAGAGGGCGGAAGACTGATTCTTGGGAAGAGCGAGGGTGGAGAAGGAAGAGAGGGAGTGAGCCAATGGAAAAATTGTGAAATGTATTTCTAGAAATCGCTCCCCAATTTAACATTTTTATAAGATAATGTACACCAATTGCACCACCTCTATTTTAAGAAACTGGGCCATTTTCCTACATTACATAATAGAACACATGTTTTGAAGATTACATCTCTCCATCTAATCATGAACAAAAAGGCTTCACGCTTCATTCATCAACTAAATATCTTTGGCAAGACCTCCTTTGCTGTTTCCATCGAGCTGCACAAAGTTACTAAAGGTGGTGTTTTGACGTATAAACAAGACGACAGAGCGGATCAGTTTGATAGTGGTGGTGAAGCACAAAAAGTTCTGTGACTAACCCAAGGACATTTACTCAAACCAGATACATGTTGTCTCTCTAAATTAACTGCCTCTGGCACTTCCGCTCCCAAAATGAAAAGCTCACAGCTCTTGAGTTGCTCCAAAAACATGACTGGTCCATTTCCTCTCCTGCCTCCTGCTTCCAATAAAAAAGGGTGAAGGAGAAACAGACAGAGAGAGCAAGAGCGAGTGAAAGAGATGTTATGTTTTTATTGTGTCGTAGTTCATTCACATGTGCACGTAAACATTCTTAGTGGCACATAATGGATACTGGATGCATATAATGTACACACAGACACATGCTGTACAAGAGTCCTGTCATACATACAACTTACACACACAGAAACACCCGCCAGACCTCTCCCGCCTTTTCCCCTTTTTGTCACTGATTTGGGTGTACAGTTCACGTTCCCACAGAAAAACTGAAACTTTCCCAGGGCTGTTGATACACTGGGGACCCTGCCGGTGATGACGGCAGAAGAGGAGGGGTTACCTTATCCCCGGGGGACCCCGGCAACATGCGACAAGGTCCGGTCCGCCGAGGAAGCCATACATCAGCACTCTACAAGTACTAGTAACCTCAGTGTCAACGATAGCGACAACAGCCAAACGCAGAGATGCCAAAGGCATGTGTCTTTTGGCAGTATGAAAACAAAACAAATAGCTCTGTGACTGGCTGCTGCTGATATGTTTGCTAAAACAAGCCAAACTGGTACATTAAGGGCTACTACAGGATGTGAATTCACATCTAAAAATCAAACAACAGAGATCATGCTGAGATTAACAAGAGTCGAGGTGTTTTCATTAGGCTTGAGAAGGGACAGAAAAACAATGTTTGGTTGTTCCAACACTAGTTGATGGGCATTGGGACAACATGACCAGAGAAAAGAAAAGCTACTTTCAGCTGCCCCCATACTCACAGGAGTCACTACAGTGGGTGTTTGATTGGTTAAAGTTCTTATGCTGGATCATCTTCCTGAACCTTTTTGTGCTTTCTTCCAGGTTCAAACCAATTATCTTTTGCTTGTTGAGCAAACGTGTAAACCACTACACTGTGGAACCACTGACCTCAAAGTGGGATGTGCTCTCAAGGATCATGGCCCAAAGGAGTCAGAAGACCACTTACACAGGAGTTAGGAGAGTGAACATTACCACAGGAGGGATACTTTTAACACTGAGATTAATGCTCATCTTTGCCTTGGTCAGATCTTTGTGTGAGACGGGAACAAACAGTGTTATGAAGTCTTAAAAGGGTCAGGCCACTAGTAAATCTGCCAAGAATGCTTGGCAACCTTTCAGAGATGTTATTAAAGCACTTGGTAACAGTTTGATCCCTGAACCACAGGACAGCTCTTTGTCAGCACCACAGACAACGGAGTCATTTACAGTAAGAAAGGTCCATAAACTAAGTGAAGGGCTTCTCAATCTGAGAATTAGAACGTGTAGAGGATCTTAAAGGATCTCGAAAGCATTTTTCTAACCCAGATGTTTATTGGTGTCTTTTGAATCTTTGAAATGGTATACTGCATTCCTGTAGTAATCTTGTAGGTCTGGAAAAAACAACAACAACAAAAAAAAACAAACAAACAAAAAACCACAAGTGATGTTTGTGTTAGTGATGGCATAGTAATCACAATGGGGGATAAATTCTTATCACTCTGCATGAGGTTTCTCACAGATGCTTGGGAATTTGGTGGCTGATTGACCCTTCCCAGTTTTCATAAACAATCCTGCTACACTCAAAGTGTCACCAGCTAATGAGGAAGAATGCTAAAGTCAACCTCCTTGGGATGCACGCAGCCCACGCTCAGCCTCAGGATTCAGCTAAGAGTGTAAACGCCAGTCCCCAGCACCCCGTAATCCCACTCCAGGGATTATCTATATATACTGTAGCTCCATGTTTCAGTTAAACATCTGGCAATGATAAAGCAGTCCTCGATGAGGTGGGAACGACTGTCAGAACCACATTTGTAGCAAACTGTTTGCTTGACCGTCTCCCGAGCGGGGGTAAGCTTGCACTTGGAAAAAAGGGAGGGGGGGAAAGTGTAATCTCTAACAAAAGAGAAGGATTTTTGAAAAGCCTCCCAAAGTGCAGCTGGAAGGCTCCGACTTCCTGTTTCTGGGAAATTTTGTGGTCTTGAGTGGGTGTTAACCGAATGTGTGTCATGGACACAGAAGACCATCACAACCACCAATCCAAATAGGCTCAGAAGCAACAATCAGTAGAAATCTGACAGCAATAAGACTTCTACAAGGAGGAAAAAAACATCTTTGATTCACAAGCTTCACAGGCGAAAGATGTAAACTCACCACCAGATATGAAAAACAACAGAGAAACAGAAACAAAACAACGGCAGGCAAGAATAGACCAATTACACCAATGACAAAGCATGACAAACCATTAACACACCACAAAAAGAACTGCACACATCACCAGACCAGACAGTGGGATAAACAGCAAAGGGAGCACGCAAACATACGGAATATACCTTATGGGGTAAAACCACATCAAAGAACGGAGTGAGCCAGCAGAAGGCGCACACACGCAGACTTGCATCACAGACTGTGATGTTTACTCTGCTGAAGTGCCCAGGAAGCCACCATACAAAAAAAACAAACTTCTCCAATTTAGCAGTCACATCTTTCCAATGAAAACAATTATAGCTCAGAATGTGAACTATTGCTGACAATCAAGATTTTTATAGGGCATGCAGTGTATCATTAGACTATCTACAGTGCAGAATAAATGCACATGCCACATTTGTCTTTTTTAGTTTTTGTTTTTCGAAGGATGCGACGTTTTCTTGACGTATCTCTGAACAGCAGGACTTGGCAAGCTCTGTGGGAAAAAACTGACCCAGTGATTCTTTGTTAAAATAAACCTCCATTTTTATCACTCATCTTGAACTGATCATCCCCCTGAGGCAAACCTTCTGGTCTCTCTGTAGCAGACCCATGATGCACTGTTCCCACCCCAGGCGGCCTCAGTGTCCATCAACTCCAATAACTCCAGTATCACTAATGCACACTTTGTACATTACAGGAGCTGTAAAAATGATAGCACAATGAAGCCCTATGAAAGGTTTGGCTACAATCTCATATAACTGATTTTTAGCAGGAACTGCTTTTGGAGATTGTGTGAAACTTCATACTTTTTGATCTACAAATACAACTGCAAAGGAAATTTTTCTTTTCTTTGATTTGTAGTATAATTTTGGAAGAATATATTACATTTAAAGTAACATTAATTAATGTTATTGGCAACCAGGGACCAGCAGAAAAAAGCAGCTAGACACAAGCAGCTAGGATGTCCTTTGATGATTACGTAAAAGAAAATAAGTGCAGTGCAATTAATCTTAAGACACAAATTAAAATGCTATAAAAATACAGCAAAATTTATTTTTTCTTAATTTCTAGTGAAATGTGCATCTTATATCTACATTTGTAAATAAAAGATTACCAAAGTCTACAGAGGTCGCATTATGCTATCAAAAATAAATGTTTAAGTTCAAAGTAGAAGGGAAAATATTATTTTTAAACTCTGAGATCATCTTCTAGCAAACAAAGAAAAAAAAGATATTGTAATGCTACAGGCATTAGATCCAGGGTCAAATTACCGAAAAAGGAAATGAGACTCTTCTTTCAGGGATCACAGAGGACACTGACCACCAG